GTAACACCCGCGTCACGTGAAAGGATAACTATCAACTATATTACCAGTGGATAGTTTTAGAACAGCTGTTCCCGGCAAAATTGACAGAGCCAACTTCACTTAAGCCATTCATCAGTTAGTTCATAATTTACTTTGGCTTTTTCTATAGAAACTTGAAAGCCAGAGTTATACCGTTGAATTATATGCAAGTATTATGGTTATACAAGTTTTGCTAATGAAGTTGATTAACATTAAGTGAACGCCTCATAAAGAATTGGACTTACATCAGTCAGCATTTTGGACGCATCACCATCATAATTATACATATGCGCTAAAGGCAGAAAACACCTGATATAGTGCCGCAATACGAAAGACCAGAAGAAGAAATAAACATGCAACCCAGGCGCGCCAGCTGAGTCGCCAGTACCAGAGGGACATCGTCCCGAAGAGTTAGTAACTGGCAAATGTGCAGCCAAAATGGATTATACTATGTCTAGGAGATGAGATTTTGGTTAAAGAGGGAGACTAAGCAAAAGGGAAAGGGACAAAGATAGTTATGGCCAACTCCACTGACGTCAGTTCCTAACTATGTCTACAAGTGTATACAGCGAGTAATTTTTACAGGAATTAACCTACTTTGTGGACACGACGGTGTTAACAGATTCTCTTCCCAAAACTTAGTTATCATGAGATAGATGTTTCACCGATCTGCTAACTACTCTGAGGTACTTACACTAGTGACCATGGTTCATCATTGGAAGCAATACCTTTAGTTGTATGATAAATATGTAGTGCCAAACTGTGGCATGCAGCAGCAGGATACGAACCGAATCATTGGACGAGAGGCGTAGAACGGTTGTTACATGATTTTATTGGATAGTTGTTTCACTTAAGATCACGGTTTACTGTCAACTTTTTAAGACCTTAGTTTCGTAAAAGAGCTAGAACCTTTAGCATCGATGTTAAAATGTGGATATTGTGTGGGGAGTTGCGTGTGGCAATTAGTGCACTTGTAGGGGCTCAACGATGAGCGACGGCATTTAAAGCAATATATGTGCTTGTGCAAAAAGTTTTTTAGTTTGTTAAATGAGCATGAGATTGGGCAATAGGCACCCAGTGTTTAGTCCCTTACCTACTTTAGCCAGATGGATTTTTCAGGATATAAGATAAAATGAGTTGTACTGATTAGGAAAAGAAACAATGTAGCTAACTGAGGCAGAATGAGATTGCTCGTGAGTAGCGAATGGCTTTTATTCAAAGCTGCTACACAGAGTCTGTGCAGTAAAGCAACTTTTCATAAGTAATAAGAAACGGTAAACTCCGGAATTGATTAAATCGTGCAATAGTAGATTACGGTTCACGCAACTTAAATTATTGCTCTCGTTCACGAAGAAGACACACATCGCTTTGTTTAAAATAGATAATAGTTAAAAAATAATGTACCAGCTGTGCACCGTGACGGCGCTTCAATTCCGCGTGACCACCAATGATCGCGCGCGGGCTGAATATAACGCGAGGACGTCCACCCCTACGCGGATCCGAACCAGCGACCTTATGGTTGCAAACAAGGTGCGCAGACCACTCAGCCAGCGTCTCAGAATTTGCTAAGTGAAATATCGCATCTGAGGTAAGGTCAGCCGGTGGCCGAGTGAAATGCGCGTCTGGTTTGCAATCATAAAGTTACCGGTTTGAATCCGCGTAGGGGCGCGAGTCATCGAGGTCTATTCAGCCCAAGAGCGACTGGTGGAGATCGCGTGGCAGCGAAGCGCCGTTACGGCATGCAGTTGGAGATTTATTAATATTTATTATTATTGTTACTGAAACCAGTGAACTGGGGGTCTGTCCAAATGCACTTTTGTTAGTAGCTTCTCAGGAAAAATCCCCTCATAAACATTCAATTTCATGCGAGCGCATGCGATGGGACAATAAGTTTGGGCTTGTTCTTCGGCACCAGCAAGTTGCATGGATCTCGTTAATAAACAGTTATCACATACTGTTTTGGACATAATGTGTACCAACCAGCAAGTCTCTGCCAAGCAAACATTGCATTTTTATGCATGAAGCAAAATACATATCAGCTGCATTACTTGAGTCCGGACGGAATGATGCACTGTGCCCTGCTAATTTATTCATAGAAAATAAGGTGCCAGGTCTTGTTAGCTGCGTGGATGTCTCTTATGAGATTAAATCCATGTTCTGAGCCAAATATTTGCTAATGCTGTGCACGCTAACTTTAGCTGATCGTGTTAAATTGCGATTTAGCCCTGGAGCTGGGAACGATTCATGGTTCATAGCAGCCTAAGATAGCTACAACAGCATCTCTAGAATGTTGCAAGCGACAGTGAAAAGACTTGCCAAGTGCGATTAGTTAAATAACTATGTTAGAAACGTGGATTCTGCTCTCTCATGCACAAGCACCTCAACGACTTGCATATTCATTGGCGTACAATTGCAGTCTATCAGCCTTGTATGTACTAGAATATGGACTTCGAATACCGATACAGAAGCATAGCAGCATACTTTGCTGGTAACCGTTGGTAACATAAGGCCAAGGAGTGCTACCATGTTGCAAATGCAAAGGAGGGCATTTCCGCTGCTGCGCACTTGTCCGCACTTATGTTTTGGAAAGTAAAAAAGGATATTAAAAAACCTTCAGCTAGGCAGTGATAAAAATAGGTAAATAAGGGCCATTAACAATAAGTTTTAACTTCTTCAAGCTGTGTTTACAAAAAAGCTGCCGGATTAAACTTGAATTTAGCGAACACGCTCTGTGGTTGGGTTGCTAATGACAATTTCTATTAAGCCCTCTATTCACTTCGAGGCAAAACTCGGTCATTCTGATCGCGAGGATCGCATCCGTAATGTGTCTTGCTTCTTCTAACACTGGCACCCCACGAGCAGGCTTTCGTCCTGGTTTGGACTAATTAGATGGAGATAGCCTGAGCTGGGGTGGCAGGCAGAGCCTAGAAGTACACGGCTGACGCCCTGCACACTATGCTACTGAGATCCGCAAGCAACGCTTGGCACAGCGGAAAACAGTTCAAAGTTGAATTTAGCGAACATGCTGTGTGGTTGGTTTGCGAATCGCAGCCTCTATCGAGGTCTTGATTTACTTTGAGGTTAACCACAGTCATTTTAGCCGGGAGAACCGTATCCAGATACGGTCCTTCGATGGTGTTTCTCATGTGCAATCCAGAATATACGTTCATTCACGAATTCAGCCATCTTTATCTTTAGCATTCTCTTCCGTTTCTCTGATTGCAAAACTCCTATAAAGAAGTCCTGTACCAATGCTGCGTACAACGTGGACATCGAGTATTCGCCCCATCATCCAGGTTGCATTTGGAATATTCGCAGCAAAGAAGCAAGGAAAATAAAGCTCCTAGGCAAACTGAGAGTTAAAGCTACCAACATTTCCACGGCAGAATGTCGTAGTTGTGACCGTTGCTCTTAAATATCCTTCGCTGCGGAGGAATTGCCAGACACAGGGAAGTAATGTAATAAAACAGTTTGCAGTAAGTTGCCGTGTATCTATTATAAGCTCGTTACAGTCCGTCTTGACCATCTGACGCAAGAGTTTGTTTGCATGCGGGACTTAGTCGATAAACTTACACTAAATATGCGGCTGGAGAAATACACTTACATAGAGAATATGGTAATGACAAAATGCATATATCACGTTTCAGACGGCATATTTCGGGCACATGTTTGGATACTCATTAGCAAAATGTGTCGGGAACATGCTGTTAGCGGTCGCGACGAACGCCCTTCCAAGGAAAATGAACTGGCTAGGAGTTCACGCGAAGTAATGAGTTTCAGGCATGCCCTTGGCCAGTGCTATTATCGGTAAGTCGTGATATTGCATAAAACACCATTTTCAGACGCTTTAGTGCACAAAAGTTTCTCCCGATGCACTGAAAGCACCACTGCGTATAAGCTTTGCCTTTGGATACGGCGAGAGGATTTAAAATCCAAATCGCATGTCACACCCTGGGCCTAGTACAAAACGCTGCATAAGCGATTTTTATTATAATTTTCTCAAACTTTTGGTGCAATTGCATACAATCCTGAAGGGGTCCTACCGCTTCGTTTTAAAGCCTCGTAAAACAGCTGCTAGTGTGCGTGAAAATTTGCTACAGCGAATGTAGATAACCCCACATTTGAGTAAAGGGACAGAATTTTACATCACTCACAAACGCGTTTGTGCTAACCGTGGACAGTATGTAACGCGCGTTGACGGATTACAGGGTTGCAGTGAGATAGCTGCGTAAGTGATTCCTTAACTCGGTACTTTCATACGCGGTAAGCATTTAGGGAGCCTAGAGGTGCGCACTTGCGCACCCCTGTATGGATGGTGGAACTGCATTAAAAGCAACGGAAATCGGTTTACTGTGAATTGGAGAAGGTTGCTATAATTTTTGCTGAGCACCGGCCTTTAGTCTTATTTGGGACTAAATTGGTGCGATCAGCACTAAATACAACATATAACAACAGAGAAATAATTCTTGGCGTGCAAGCTGTTGTTCGTGCACAACCATTCCGTGGTCGGCGAATCGTAGCGAAAGTAATGGAAAATAATTGCACATGAATGGGCGAATGCGTCTGCAATATTATACAGAGCACCCGTATTTAGTCCCATTGGGAACTAAATTGGAGCGCTGACGAAAGCCCAAAATGTGTGTCCTTGGGACTTTCTTCGAGTGCCTATCGGGCGTCTGTAAGGCGTTGGTGCCGGCAGGGTCTGTGCGTAAAGAGCACAATTAATATAGTTCATATACAAAATAAGATATTCAAATCGTAAACAATAACTTTGTGTGCATACTCGGTGGAAATATTTTAACATAGAACAACTTCAGATAATAACAAAACGGCCGGAACTACGAACAAGGTATATCACGAGAAACATTTAACACAACATTGGTAAAATAACCTATCGCTAAAGCGGTAATTAGTACAGATAACGGGAGAAATCCAAATATTGCGTACGCTGACAAAAATTTAATGTTAGTGCAAATACATACCGCCTGCCGTTCATCGGTTGAAATGTCAATGCATTGAAACTCGGTAAATTTCCTGGTGAACGAATAAGCTTCAGGTGACACGCACGACAATAAAGATGTCCGGAGTTCTCGTTAGCTGTGAAACTATCCAACAATTTGTTGCACATTCCTATAAACAGTTGATTAATCAAACATTCGGCTAACTGCATTTGAAACAAATTCGATGGAACGATTTCCCCATGGACCTAATTTCCTCTGCGAAATAAACGGTTTCATTGCAGACAGGACAAATAACTGGTCCAAATGTCGATTTTGACATAATATTACTGTGCAAAGGTTAACGAACTCAAGTCATTGCAGAATTTTTATTTAGTTGAAAGCCCGGTGATGTCGTTCGTCAGGAGCACAGTTGCGAAATATTATGATATAACAAACAAGCTTCTTTGACTTCACTAACTAATGTCCTGTTTAAACTGGGAATCAATCGTTATTTTCAATCTAACAGCCAATACAGTGAAATTTTTTGTTTGTGTTTGCTGTTATTTTGGAACGTATTTTGCCATTTACAGAGCAAATTTAAGCTCAGGGCGGCCTAGAACGACAGGATAAATCCCGTAAGTGTTCTTACTTGAGTGGAAGTTGATCCAGGAGTTGTAAGAGGGGCTCCGACTTCTTGGTAGTTCCAAAAGGGAAACATCCTGGTCCACCAATTTATTGCCCACGTTCCTAATGTTAGCAGTCCCTGCTAGGCCAGTTACGTGAAGGCAATAAGAGAGAAAAAGGAAAACCGAAGGTAAAGTATAAGGAAAATTAGTTGAAAGAAGAGGATAATACCAATGGTGAGGGGAAGTACAGCATTAAGTTTTTGAATTATGACGAAGAGCTTTCGTCAAGAAAAAGGCAAGGTTTCCTGTTGTAACCTAAGAACATCTGGTTACGATCAAAAGTCTTATACGTAGCTTCCTTGACAACATTTTTTGGAAGCGAGTTCCAGCGCTAGATAACTCGGCGCCATAACCATGTCTCTATTCTACCTCCATCGGACCGCGGTTTCTCCAGCTTCATACAATGCCCGCGGTGATCAGATAACCTAGCAGGACTAAATAGGCAGTGCAAATCCAGACCCACCTTCCCAGACAACATACGGTAGGTTAGGATTAAGTCCGATCTAATCTTTTGACAGTGCATCAAATTCATTCCCAAACAAGGCAGGCGTTCGGCGTACCTTTGTCATCGTCACCCCTAGACAGACCTGGTACCGACACACAACGCTCTTTCTAGTGTCATTTTGTCCCGCAGACGGCATGTTTGACAGGCCTGGAAGCTCCATTTTAGGAGAGCTCACATGAACGCTGAGAACAGCTTCAAAACATATTAGTTGTTATGGTTCCGATAAAAGGACAGATCAACCACAAGCTGCGGAAACCTTTACTGGTGGCCTTCTTCCAATTGTCTCCAGAGTGTAGAGTGGGACAGTGGACGATACTAGAGCAACCTGCTGAAGCACGTAAGGAAGTGCACACCCATCCGTCACATCTGGTGAAGGTATATGACGCTCCGGAACGCAGCACTGATTACGTTGCCCGGCTTATGGGCAGCCACCACAGGTCATAATTTCCCTGTGTCCATCCAGCACCCGTTGAAGAGCCGCAGGACCTCTAGGGACATCAAAAATATTCCAGAGCTTTACGTTCACAACAAAATAGAGCAGTGGTACCTCAAGGTCCCCCGGCAAGTCATTCAGTTTAACTACGAACCCCAGCGGACCTAGGACAGAACCTTGCGGAACGCCGCTAAGGACAGCTTGTCGAAACGGTAGGCTGATTCCCACACATATGAAGGATTTCCGTCCAGCCAGCAAAGCTACTACTCACTGGAGTGCGCGACCAGGTATTCCATAAGGCCTCAACTTCAGTGAGGGTCATGAACGGGGGACAGTGGCAAAAGAATTGGCGAAATCAGTAAACACCACGACCACTGCACGTCCAGCGTCTACGACTCCAGCCACGCTCCCACGAGCTAACAGCAAATTCCCTTGACACAAATATATTTTACAAAACCCATGTTGATGGATACTAAACAGGTTAAATCTATGCACATTTTCCGCCGCTCTATCTCTTGCTAATTTTTCAAGTAACTTAACCACCACGCTAGTCAAGCTGACCGGCCTGTAATTAGCCGGTAGGTTTCGGTAAACAACTTGAAAATCTGGCAGATAACAGCCTTCTACCATTCGGTAGGTAAGAGAGAGCGGTTGTCTAACTGCTGAAACAACAAAGTCGGAGGTTCACTGAGTTTTACTGCTAAATCGTGTAGCAATTTTGGATGAACCGAATCTGCCCCGGAAGCCTTAGAATAACTTCTGCCAGCAGCCGGAGAACTTGTGACTCAAGTAAGGGAATACCATCCGGTAAGGTGAACTCAGACTCTCCCGAATCTAGTTATCTGCATGACGTATTGGTTTCGCAGACATAGCACGCACGCCTTATCATAGTCACTATACGCTTGGATCCCATCTCCTTGAAGCAACGGTGGTAAGGGCGAGTTTCCTCCACAGCGTCGTTCAACGTAGGCGCACAATTCTTGGGAATTCTAGAGGCGGTTCATGGCGCAAGAATTTCATTTAACCCCGGCTAGACTGCTTCGCAACTGTAGTATGCCCCGTTTGAGGATTCCGTGAGCCCTCCGTCTGGGGTTTATCTGGCTCCTAATAGACAGAGGGACTTCACGGCAAAGGGCTACTTTGTGGGCCACTTGGTGTTAACATCTCAACCACTTAGTAAACATCTGAGCGGGATGGAGAGTGTACCTGTGTCCTACTCGCGGCGTGCTTTACAACTGCTGATGGATGACTGGGCATTAGAACCCTGGATGGATGGCTTTAAAACGTGCATAATGTGACATTTCTAACAGTGTTTAAGCCGAAATTGGAAAGCAAGCAGAAGTGGAAATGACAACTACAGTCTAGACTACCCTGCGCAGCACCTTACCGGTAGATTTGCTCTAACAACACGTCGACGCACTACAGTATACCCCCACATATCGGACGCACTGCTCAACGCCCTGACTTGTGTCAACCTGCTGATGATCTGGTCAACGCTGTAACAGCTTCGCATGATTCCGAGTGAGGGTGGGTCAGTGATCGCTGCATTGGCCGTAGTCCTGCTGCAGAAGCTGGCGTTGTGAGCCGGTATGGTCTCAAACTATGTAGTTTGCTTCCGGGAATGCCTCTGAGGCTAGTTCCAGATGGAGGGGAACGTGATTCTAAACTTTTCCGCAAGAAACAGTTGCCGAGCCTAAAACGATCGATGAAACACGGTCGACGGAGTTTTAACCGAGTAAAGCGTTCGTAGGCGGGATCAAATATCTTTTGATTGGGCATTCTGACGCAGCTAGAAAGTCAGCCGTTAGCGAATTGCTTCGTCATTATGCAATCTCACAAAATATTTCTGGTAGGCACTGTGGTCTACGCCCGTCTGGTAGCTTTGCATTCGAGCTTCCTAAAGGTCTAACTCATCACCGGGTGAGAACACAGAAGACTCACGCAGAGACGGGCGGCTAATTTCTATGTGCCACGATAACTGCTTTCTCTTTTCTTTTCCTTCTCGTTTTGGTAACTGCCAGTACTCATGCTTGCCATGTCTTCCGGCTCTTAAGCTACGTCCTTTCGCCCACTCCATTTAGAATCGGAAATAATCCATCAGTGTTCAATTTAGTGCTCACGAACGAATGGCTCAAGATTTAGCATCCTAGGATGGAGAGACCACTTTGTTAGAACGACCACATAAAGGTAATGTACGACTGAAATTGTTATGCGGAATAACCATATGAACATAGGATCTTGTTTCGAACAATCACCTGCTGGGACACACTGGCAGAACTGGTAGGAGACGCCGTTTGTGACTTTTTGGACCACATTTCCACGGACGTTGCTTAGATGCAGTTTACTGGCAAGTGCAGCGAGCTGATCAAATGTGCACTGGTCAACCAAACACTTTGTTTCACGAGATCGGAATCATGTATTTGGAGCAGAACCTGGTGACCCATAACAGCAAGTGGCGATGCGTCGCACGTGTATAAAGCGAACTTTAGCCCTTAAAACTGAAGTAACTAATTTGTGTTTCGTACTCACTGTACCGCGCTTGTACGTGGGAACATATTAGTAAACCAACAGAGCCTAGCAGAAAAGTTTTGCGCAAATCAAACTCCCGTAACTACATGTGAACGGCCTCCGGAACGCGAAACATGGGGTCCCCCACTAAAACCAGCAGATGGATGTGCTCAAACTGCTGTGGATGCAGCTAACTTGCTCCGGCTGCAATATGCTCCAATATTCAGACGTGCTACGAACTGGTGTAACCTACCTGTCCTATGCTCCCAGGCGCAAGTATTTACACAAGTCTCTTTTCGTCCAGCAACCTTATTGAGGGGAGTCGTTGACAACGTTCCTCCGAAAGCACCGCAGGTGGCAGTTACGAGGATGTCTGAAGAACTAACGCATTTTTCCAAAGATGCCTAGACGACGAGCATTTCCCTAGCCCGTGGAACCAAGGCTTCAATACCCCGATTTACAAGTGCTAGCCCTTCAGAGCCTGCCAAGTATCGCCCAGTGATCCTCCTCCCGATGCTCTCAAACGTGATAGCATCGACTCTCGCTGAGGCTGTAATGGGCTACTTTAAAACTTCTAACTTCAGTGCATCGGAGCAACACGGAGTCCGTCTGCACCGGTCATGTAGTACTAATATAATTATTGCCCTTGGCAAATGGACCAAGGTAGCCGACAGTGGGACCGACATTGATGTTGTCTATTTAGAACTTTCTAAAGCCTGTCTCTCAAAGCTTTGCTTGCATGTTAATTTCTTCATCGAAACTGTTAAATAAATAAATAAATAAATTTTTATTCTCGACAATGCGTGACACACCTTTACAGGCATGATCGTATTTATCTAATATAGCGTGTTCACATTGTACAAAAAGCATTTTTGGCATAACAGTGTATGTAAGTATATGGGTGTATATACGTATGAATGGCTGTTGTTTGATATCCCTGGTATGGTTGCGCTTGATGTGTATGTTGACAAGGTGCCTACCTGTCTATTACCCACTACATCGTTCATACTGGCTCCAGGAGACAGTTGGTCGTTGCTGGAGGGGACGGGGTGCACGGTTCTGGTGGTCATGCTAGTCTCAAAGGGCGGTTCCATGCACTGAGTGTGGAGCGGACTACGGTCAAGCCACCGCCTTGTGTGCGGTTGATTCCCCAAATACAGCGTGCTTGTGTTTGCCTGTGAAGGAGTGTGGGCCGGCTCCGTTAATGAAACGTGGTTCCCATCCGCATGCCTCCCGGTCTTATTCCTTCGGGTTTACACTGGATATGGGGTATGTGGTTGGAGCTGTGGGTGGTGCAGCGCAAGCCATCCATGGTCCCTCTGTAGGCGCTGGCGTCCTGTGGCTTGCCA